CCCAGACAAATCAGGGCTTTTCCCAAGGTCCCAGAGCCTCTGAGAAGCAGGGCTATGATTTGAAATCCTATTTTCCAAACACAAATTCATGATTTATTTGAATGCTTCTTCTGGGTCCCATTGCTTGCTGTTGGCCCAGGCTAAACTATTCCAGTTGTGGGTTTCCAAATGTCTTCATGGTTAGTACAACATTTCCTATCATATTTAATTCTTACAACTTTTTGCAAGAGATTAGGCCCAAGAGGTTCAATCCCTGCTCAAGACCAGAAGCATACTTCAGTAGCTACTTGAGAAAGTAAAATCAAGTTTCATAAAGTAAAATTAACTTTAACACTGTATTTTATTTCTAATATTTCCAAAATATTATCTTTACTCCAAAAAATGATGTATTTATTTGAAAAGCAGATTTACAGAGAGCGAAGAAGACATAAACAGAGAGATATTTCTATCCTGTGGGTTATTCCCCCAAATAGCTGCAGTGGCTGGAGCTAGCCAGCTGAGAGCCAGGAGCCTGGGACTATGCATGGGTCTTACACCTGGGTGGCAGGGGCCCAATCTGGCCGTTTTCTGTTGCCTTCCTAGGCCTGTCGGCAGGGAACTGTATCAGAAGTAGAACTGCTGGGATCTGAACTGACATCCATATGACGGCTTAACCCTCATTTCCGGTTTTCATAGCATTAGTCCCCTAAAAAGCACAGACTGTGCTTTTGTGTTCAAAATCTACACTGTAGATTGTGTTCCATCACTGGAGTGTAATCTTTTGAAGGTGAAGGAATCTAATCTGCTCAGAGCACTACTCCTGGGACGTAGAACAGCATCCTGTACACAATAGATGCTCAAGAAATATTTGCTCACCAACTGAGCACATGACTGAATTATTCTTGTTATGAAGTGTGTTTTGCCTTAAGTCACGCTGCATGGATGTGAAATGCTATTTCTATTGAATTCCCTTGTGGGAATTCAAGCCCCTCATGGACTTAGTTGTCTCCTTGTCTTCAGAAACTGGAAACTTTTGGTAATCTCAGAGTCCTCTCTGGGGACTATTCATAAATATGTTACTAACATTAGTAATACATCATAGTATTATAAATATTATGAACATTACTAACATTACAAATATTAGTAAAGTCTTCCCATTCTTCCTCCTCCAAGTCAGTGGCCCAAGCCATCCACAAGGTGGCCAGAGCAGCCCATGTCACTCAGCTGTCTCCTTAGGCTTCCAGCAGCTGTTGACTCTGCCCCTCTTGCCACCTCCACCTTCTGTTTGGAGTGTCTTCCAGAAGTTCATGGAAAGGATCTATCATAGGGTCCAGTGTGGTAGCCTAGCGGCTAAAGTTCCAGGATCCCATATGGGTGCCAGTTCTAGTCCTGGCAGCCTGGCTTTCAATCCAGCTCCCTGCCTGTAGCCTGAGAAAGCAGTCAAGGACAGCCCAAAGCCTTGGGTCCCTGTACCCATGTGGGAGGCATGGACGAGGCTCTTGGCTTTGGATTAGCTCAGCTCTGGCTGTTGTGGTTGCTTGGGGAGTAAATCAGTGAACGGAAGATTTTCTCTATATCTGACTTTCCAATAAAAATAAGAAAGTCTTTAAAAAAATCTATTATAAAAATTATATGAATTTTTAAAAAATGTTGCCTAAAAACCTGATGTTTTAACTCTTATTTTCTATTTGTTGTTTATGTCCCTCTGATTTGGGCTTTTTTCCTTTGCCCACCATCGTCTGTTTCATTCCATCCATTTCCTCTCCTGTGAAGTCGCCCGGGCTTGCAGAGCGCGGACTTGCTCATATACTCAACGTAGCAGATTGTGTTTCCTGTATAGCCTCGTTCTCCTTCACCCTCCTCGGGCTTCCGTTTGTGATTTACAGAATAAATATAGTTACTTTCTGAGAATGTTTTTGAAATATGCCAGTCCATAGTAAGAGCACAAGACATGTGAGCCATCAATACTCACATTTTTATCTTCCTGTCTTAGCTCTACTTTCCCATTGCCCATTCCCTTGGTGGTACTGATGCAAGAGAGAGGTGTCAGGATTAGAGCTGTAGGCATGAGCAAAAGGCCTAATTTGTCCCTGTGGGATGTATACATTTTGGAGTAAAAGAATCGCCAGTTTGAGTTCCCACTCTGCTATCGACTTGCTGTTTGACCTTGGGCAAATTATTTTGCCTCTCTGAGCCTTAGCTCTTTTGTCCCTGTAGTCCAAATAATAATCCGTCATTCTCCCCTTGAAGGCTGCTGTGAGGTGTGTACATCGATAGATACACGTGTTTAGTGTCTGCTAGTAGATCAATGTTCATGTGTGCTTCTTTTTTAAAATTAGTGAAAAGGAAATTTTGGAGGGGAGGGGGAATTTCCTGTGGTTTAATCTTCAATGGAGAGAGTGTCCCGTGCTTCAGTGGGAGGAATGTGAATTTACAAAAGCGCGAGAATTAAGAGACCCCTGGGTTTATGTGGTACGGAAACAATAGCCAGGAACATTCACTTACAGGCAATACCCTGGCAGCTTACTTGCGGTTTCAGGTCTCTGCAGCCCCCTAGTGGCCACTGATTGAGAAAGATGATTTGTCATGGTAATTGACAAACGACAGGAGTCTTATTTGTCTTTGGACTAGAAATTACGGAAGTAAGGAATGAGTGAGATGGAATTTTGTTCTTCATATTTCACATATAAAAGTAGTCCTCCATCGGTGTGCACACAACAAAATTTGACAAAAATTTAAGCATGCATGTACGTGTACTAGAAAATTAATACCTTCCATGCCTTATCCTCGTCCCTCTCTCCCTTTTCTCCTCTCTTCTTCATCTTCTTCCACCAGGACAGGAACATCTTTCCTTCTCCTCGGTCAGATAATTCTTTGCTCTTAAACCTGTGAACTCAAGTGTATGCAGTCTGAGTTCCATGGAGAGGCCAGGTACCTGTGAATTGAAGTGAGTTGCAAACAGAGCTGGAAGCAAGTCATTGCAAGAATCAATACTCCTCTGTTATTAGCTCGTCCACTTGTTAAAGGTGGTGTCCCAGTGCAGGCGGGAGCTTAGCCCCTGTGGCAGCAGAGGGTGCGCGGGGCACCACGTCCTGTGGGGACAGTCAGCAAGGTACGGCAGCCCGGGGAGCTGGGTGAGGGAGGTTCCACCTCGCATCCTGCCCTGGTTCTGGAGGCCGTGAGAGCACACAGGCTGCCAGTCAGCCTTCAAGGAGAAGGAACAGAGGCTGTTGGTGGGAAACAAAAATGACAGATTTGTCTGTGGTTCTGGTGAAGTGCTTGTTAAGAGCACCATCTTAGGTGTGGCAGAAGGAAGGCGCGTTAAGGGGTACTGCCCTCAGGTACAGCTGGGTAAGTTCCCAAGCGCCACTCCCCACCTCCTGCTATGAACTCGGATGCCTGGTTCTTATTCTTTGTAGCCAAGTCTCTCCCAGATCTTCCTTGTCCGTGTCTGTTCTTCATAAAGGCAGGTGGCAGAGTGGTGGCTCAATGCACAAGGAAGGGCTTGGGAGGCACATAGGGCTGTGTGACCCAGGAGAAATCAGTGGTGTTTCCTACAAATCAGTTTCAGTTACCTACTGAACCTGGTGGTTAGGAGGCCCAACCCCAAATAGGAGCTCATGTTAGATTCCTGCTCCTAACACAGGCTTCCTGCTACTGTACCTGCCGGGCCAGCATTGGGGATGGCTCCGGTGATTGGATTTCTGCCACTCCCTGGCATTGGGACCAGTGGATGGGACATCCCTCTGTCCCTCTTCCTTTCGAATGTTCGGACTCCATTCTGAGAAAACGGGATGACTGGCAGGAGGTCTGAAACGTGTTTGTTGTTATAGTGAAATAACGCTGCGAAACCAGAGCGATCACTCTCCGCTCCCTTCCACTCTTGCTGTGTGGGTGGTGGGAGCACCAGCCTCCCAGGAATGCATTAACATCACAGGGAGAATTCTGTCTCCGGGTCCTAACACGGTTTTCACATTTGGCGACCTCGTGCTGTCACTGCTCCTGCCGTCCTCCCTTCCCCCTCGCCTCCAGTTGTATCCCAGAATGATTTTTCTGAAGTCGGACCCGTTTCATCCCGCACGCGCTTAATTAGGGAGCGTGGTTGATTACAAAGGTTTCTTCCAGTTCTCCCATTCGTACCCTCCACCTCTCCCCACACACACACACCAAACACGCTCTCTTTCGCCCGCGGAGAAATAGGGCAGGGAATCTGAAAGATGGGGATGGAGGGGGCAGGCGGGGCGGGCTCCACGCTTTTCTCAATGAATGCCGAGGCCTCTGCAGATTTGCATAGGAGCCGGCGTCGCCGCGCCATTGGCCAGCGGGGGCGGGCGGGGCGGGGCCGCGGCGCGGAGTTGGCGCGCGAGCCCCGCCCCCTCCCGGCGCGCGCTCGCGGCTCGGCCAGCTGCGAGTGGCGGGCGGCCCGGCAGATGCGATCCCGCGGCTCCGGGGGCGGCAGCGGCCGCAGCAGCTGGCACCTCCCGCCGCCGTCCCGAGGCTCGCGGGGCTCGGAGGGAGGCGCCCTCGGGCCGCGCGCCGGCCGCCGCTCCTGGCCGCGAGCGCGGCCGCTGGGCGAGGAGGGGGCGTCCAGGGTTTGAGCTCCCTTTTGCCTTGAATGCTTTCACCCGGCTGCCGCCGGGGCCGCTCCGGAACCTGCCAACCCCGCGCAGCCAAGACGCGGGCGGGCGAGAGCTCGGGAGCCGCAAACTTGCTCGGAGGCGGCTCACTCCCGCTCTGCAGCCCCGGAGTGGACCCGGTCTCCGCTTAGAAGTTCAGCGGTCAGCGCATTGCGAAGGCTTCCTGCAGCCGAGGGTCGCCGGACAGTACACGAGGAGGCAGCTCCCGCCCTGGGCATCCGCCCGGCCACGAAGAGGAGCTCTGGGGGGCGCCACCGGGAAACAAGGAGGTGGCCAGGACAGCGGCACCCGCTCGGAGCTGCGGTGCTCAGCTTGGGAAGTTGTGGACTGGCAGCAGGACTGAGGCCAGCTCAGCGGGGACGGTCCCCTTGGTCGCCCGCTCTGTCGTCGGAGTTTTTGGTGCTTCTTGGGGTGCCTGGAGCTGTTGGGACACAGTATCCCAGCTGTTGAGCCCAGCGCTCTCTGGACTCACGCCCTCGAAGCCCAGCTGTGGCTTGTGTTGACCCCCTGCTCGCCTGCTTGCGGTTGGCGGAAAGCAGGAGGATCCCCAAGACGGCAGGTGGGGCAGGTGGAAGGAGTCCTTCAGGACCTACCACACCGTAGGGAGAAGCCAAGGGCGAGCTGGGTCCCCTTGAGGCCGAGAGGGGCATGCGGCCCTCCTCCGGCGGGATGCGAGCCATCGGGCTCCTGTGGCTGTTGCCGCTGCTGCTCTCGGCGACAGCCTCGGGCTCTGGGGCTGCTGCTGGCCAGCGCGCGGGCTCCCCGATCATGGGGCCGCCACTGCAGCCCCGGGAGCCGCTCAGCTATTCGCGCCTGCAGAGGAAGAGCCTGGCCGTGGACTTCGTGGTACCCTCGCTCTTCCGTGCTTACGCCAGGGACCTGCTGCTGCCTCCGGAGCCCAGGGCTGGCCTGACCGAGGCGCGCGGCTTCCTGGCCCTGGACTGCGCTCCGCTGCTGAGGCTGCTGGGGCCACCGTCCGGGGTGTCCTGGGCATCCCCGGCCCCGACGCTGTCCAGAGTGCTGAAGGGCGGCTCTGTGCGCAAGCTCCGGCGTGCCAAGCAGCTGGTGCTGGAGCTGGGCGAGGAGTCGATCCTGGAGGGCTGCCTGGGGCCTCCAGAGGAGGCGGCCGCTGGACTGCTCCAGTTCAACCTCAGCGAGCTGTTCAGCTGGTGGATTCGCCACGGCGAGGGGCGGCTGAGGATCCGCCTGATGCCCGAGAAGAAGGCGTCGGAAGGGGGCAGAGAAGGAAGGCTGTCCGCAGCCATCCGCGCTTCCCAGCCGCGCCTTCTCTTCCAGATCCTTGGCGCTGGTAAGCAGCTCCTGCCGAGCGTGTCAGGATCCACAGTTCTAGTCAAATGAATTTGCATCCAGTATTAACCACCCCCCACCTTATCCCCTGTTCCAAAACTCAGCTTCTCCTTTCCAGCCCTTCTTCCTCATTCCCGAGCCTCCCTCTGGGGTCGGCCTGTGTTTTCTTGTTTCCCCCTCATGAACACAATGACTCCCCAAAGAGTTCTTCCTCTGTAATAACCAAGTTGGGAGAAAAGTTTCCTGCTGTTGGTGAAATGTCTTTTTGCACATACAATCTCTGGCAAAGTCAGGTGTCCTTGCAGGTGGGCCCTACCCCGGTGACTCCTGAGTTCTAATTTTGCTCCATACTTAAACAGCATCACACGTCTGCCTCCCCCTTATTCCTCTTTCTGGCATTTGGGGGATGTGGTCCATATTCTCTGGGAATATTGAAGTCCTTGTGATGTTGTTGAATCCCACCCAGCCACCCTAACCCTAAATGTTCTCTTGCCTCCTCTGTGTTCCTTCATTCTACCTCTCATCCCTACCTCTCAGAGTCCCTCAGATTCCCATTCTTCCCTTTGGATGGGATTGGGATAACTCCGAGAGGAACTCTGTAGCAATGGACAAGAGGGTGGCGTGGAGGGGGAGGGAAGTTGCCAGTCTGGCCGTGCCTTGGAGAAGTCTTTGTCACGCTGAACAGTAGAGACAGCAGGCTCCCTGCCTTCCTCCCCCCACGCCCCTCCCTCCGGTCGCTTTCCCTGCTTTCCCCTTTCCCTCAGATGTGTCTACAGCACAGCTGCCTGGGGTAGTCTCTGCCAGACCTGTCTCTGCACATCTCTCTGTTTCTGTTTTCCTTCACTCCCTTGTTTCTTTCCTTACACATTCATGCACTCTTGTTTTCATTTTCTCTCCCTTCTCCCCTCTTCTCCCCGTGTGTGTGTGTGTGTAGAGGCTCTTATTTCCAACTCTTTCCAGAGATTCCTTTGAATGGAAAACCAGATGGTTTTGAATGGATGTTTCTCTTTTAAGACTACTGGGGAAGAGCTCGTGAATAAAATATATGGTGTAAATGAATGACAAAAGTACAGAAAGGAAATCATGTTTTTTTAAGCTTACATTAATTTCATTGAGCAAATCCAGCTTATTTTCTATCATTCTCATCGTCAGAATTAAATGAAGTTCTTATGCTTCACTGATTACTATGTCTGGTATTAATTGAATGGAAAGTATTGGGGGAAAAAAAGCCTACTGTAGAGAGCTACAAGTATCTCTCATGATTGTTCCAACACACATGCACTCTCCTATACCCACTTCTATTGTGCAATAGAGAAGTTCAAAGCTGGGGCTCCCTTGCCCTTGCCCAGAAAACATACCAGTATGAGGTCCCCAAGGAAAGATGTGTAAATTTAGCATTAGTGACCCCTTGTGTTCAGTGCTGGAATTAATGCAATCCATAGTAAGTCATAATCCAATGAGTTTGGTTGTTGCCTTCAGCGAGCTGAGATGGAAGATGGATATGGTTGTCCCACCATGGCTACTTTTGTAAAGAACAGCTGGACTTTAATGTTGTTTTCACTTCTGTGGTATATACATGCAGCATTCTCTTTTAGCACTCAACTTTGATGTAGTGAATATAAACGTGATTTGTTTGGAAATGAGTGTTTTCTGCCACTTGCATGCCTATGAACTTCTCTGGGGGCATCCCCAACATCTCTTCTTAAAAGACTATAGTTCCCCATGGTCGATATCAAGTGTTGTCAGACATTGGTGTAACTCTGACCCTGTGTGCTATAAATAAACAGGTTGCATGAAGCTACTAGTGGATGTCTCCCGAAAGCCCTGTGTGTAATGCATTTGGAGGATGCACTCCAGTTCAGCCGTAGATAAGGAGTTGAAGCTTCTGTAGGCGGCTATTAGGAGAGCGTCATGCGGAAAAGAGTGTGCTCCAGCAGCTGCTTTGTCACTGGCTGTAGAGAAGCTCTCTGCACACCCCAAGTCCTACCTCGGCAGTGCAGCCCGTTTGGCAGCTGGACCAAGTCCTTCTGCATCGTTTGACACATCTAGCAACGCAGGTTTCAGAAAGAGCCAGGATTCTGTCATTAAAAGGCTAGGAATTTTGGCCAGGCATTTTTCAGTGGGATTGGGATCAAATGATTATTGATGGGATCAAATAAGACACTAAGTGTGACTGGATTAGCTTTCCCTGACCTCCAGAGAGACAGGCAGCTTACTGAAACACACTTGGGGCCTTGTGATGATCCCACTTGGAACAGGCTAGTCTTTCCTGTTTCTGTGGATATACGCTGACTGCAATCAGGCAGCTAGCCATGTGGGACCAGGCTCTTGCCTTACCACTACTTACTGCACCTAATTCCAGAAGTCTCCACTGTGGATCTCTCCTGGAGTTGACACATCCTGCTGTGTTGTGTTCCATGTTTGGGGCAACATATATCATTGTGGTTCCACTTATTTTCATGTATGAAAATTCAAGCTCAGGTTCCACCATCTGGATTGATTTTGCTATTTATCACGCTTGGGGAAATGTTTTTTTTTTTCTTTTTCACTTTCTGTGGGCTCTGATTTATAGAAAGGGCATTTGACTTTTGTTTGACTGACACAGGCTCTTCAATGCTATACAGGGTAAATCAGCACAGCTAAGCTTATTTATTCCTACCTCTGCCCACAGGACTGGCAGACTGGTCTAGAGGAGTACAGTCACACTGATGGGGTCATTTGTGGGTTCTTTCTGTTGAAAGACCCGGAACCACCCACATGTCTCAGGCTGAAGATAACTTCCAAACTCTGAGCAGGACTATGAGGTGGGATTGGCAAAATGGAAAATGACCCAAGGAAAATAAAGCAAAACCTTTCTGTTGCTTATGGCTTGGGCTGTCTGAGGACAAAGCAACGACTGCATGGTCTTACAATGCATGACATGCTTATGTTTTTTCTTTGTGTATTGTTGTGAATTCATAAATAGGGTCAGCCTTTCAAAGAACAGGGCAGTTTCTCAGATCACCCATTCATGCAGGAGGGCTGGAGAGGCAATGGCTAGAACTGGCGACACCCCCTCCCTGGACAGCCCAGACCGCTGAAAGGATGTCTTCCCGGAGCTTGTCGGATTCTCCACATCATGAATTTGTAGACATTTTGAGATCCTTTTCTGTGTTCCTCCCCCACTCTACTTGGCAGAATTCTGTAGGCTGATGATTTATGAAATAGAAGGTCCTGTTTTCCTACAAACACACTTTGCCCATTCCAGAGAGGAAGATATGTGACCAGGAACTCTTTGTGTGTCACAGAGAAGCCAGAGCAATGTAGAGTAAATTATGCAATATAGTGCACCTGACCCTTGACCTCATATGTGTGTCTGTCCCTTTCCATTTTATTTCTAAAGAGGGTAGAGAGTGTGAAAGAAGATACAGAGGAAATTGGAGCTCCCAGAAGGGATATCAGTTATTGGAGGTGATTTGGGAGAGTTGGAACCAGTCCAGAGAAGAGCAGAGAGCTGATTTAAGAGTTGAAGGGATTGATTTATGATGAAAGATGAAAAGAATTAAATATATGTGGCTGGGCTAAATGGCGATGAAGGGAAAGCCATGGTAACAATCTACAAATCTCTGGAGAGGAGAGTGGCAGTGAAGGAGCTGAGTTATTTAGTGTGGTCCGTGGAAGTAATAGGATGAGACTTGCAGAAGGAAACTTCAGGTTCAATATCAAGGAGCCTTATTTTCTGAAATTGATAGTCCTGTGACTTTGAGATGGAATTCCAACAGAGCAGGGAGTCAGGTGAGATATGGGGCAGACAAGACACAGCATTCATAATTAATCAGTTCTGTTTTCAGATGTTGAGCAGCTACAATATACCACAGAGCTGGGATGGGAAATGGCACCAGGACTGTATCTTTTAGAATCTAATTCGTGAGCGCCTTTGGGCATTCATGTTTCCAGGGAAAAGAAAAGTATTGCATAAATACCTTTGAAGTTGGCAGGAAACACTTAGAAAAGAATTGTTGGAGAAACACTGTTTTGGAATTTTGGGGTTTATTCTTTTCTATCTGTAAGACCAAGCATGGAGCATTCCTCTGGAATGTAATCTGGGTATCCAGGGTGAGGAGGCATACTCACCAGATAATATGTTCAAGACAGATGTGTGTTGGAGGGGGGCGGGGTATGGGCTTTGTGATCAATTCTAGATTTAGTGAATTCCTACAGGTTACTTGAAAACCCTTTGAAATGTTTATGGAAATATAATTCACCCAAATTTCATTTAATATTTCACAAATTTATAAAAGTGAAAGCCAGTGAGAAGTGTGGGCATGGGAGGAGAATGTTGCATTCAAAAACTGGATGCTTTTATAAGGAAGGTGGTCTGTGGAAGGTTCAGAAGAACTGGCCTGTGGGTGGTAAAGAGGACAGAAAAGGCTGGGTCAGCAGAGGCTGCAGGACCCTGACATTTTTGTGTTTACTGCCCTTACTTTATCAAAACTTGCCCAACCTGCTCCAAAAAGGATATTTTACCTACCTTTACAATCATTAAAGATGTCCAGTTAGATGTGACTTTATAATTTATAAAACACTTCACATTAATTATTTTATCCATTCCACAGCAGCAAATACTTGCCTTATAAGTGGAGCTGTTGGAATGCGGATGTTTGATAACAGCTTTTCAAGGCCATACATAAAAAGTAGTGGATTTGGAAGGTTTCATGTATGTGTCGAAAGGTTGTGGCTGTGCTATAATAGCTGTGCTAGTTATTGACTAGGACCACGGTTATCCTTAGCTTTGAGTCAGAACTCATTCCACATTAAGGAATCATCACAAGGTGTTGGTTATGAATAAACAAGACGTGTAAATAGATGAAAAGCTTTACATTACCCTTGTATTTTTTCCCTAAGATTTATTTGTTTCTATTGCAAAGTCAGATTTACAGAGAGAAGGAGAGATATAGAGACAAATCTCCAATTCACTAGTTCACTCCCCAAGAGGCCGCAGTGGCCAGAGCTGAGCTGATC